TCGACGGGACTTGGAATAATTTGATGTATCTAAAAGTAGGTTTTGTGTATTTCGGCCTTATTTTTGAAACTATGACTTTAAAAATTATATTGCATAGTTTGGTTTTACTTTTATAACTAATGTTACAAAGGATAAAAATTTAAAAAAAAATTCACATTAAAAAATTTCTCGACGGGACTTAAAATAATTTTAAGTTGCTAAATGTGGGTTTTGGAACGTTGTTACAACGTTTCTAGCATACAATTTTACAACGTAGTTTCAAAGTGGGTTTTGTGTATTTCGGCCTTATTTTTGAAACTATGACTTTCAAAAATGTATTGCAGAGTTTGATTTTGCTTTTATAACTAATATTACAAAGGATACAAATTTAAAAAAAAATCCACATTAAAAAATTTGTCGACGGGAATAATTTTATGTTGCTAAATGTGGGTTTTGGAACGTTATTACAACGTTTCAAGCAATACAATTCTCCAACGTTTCCAAGACAACGTTTTAACTACGTATTTCTAGGGTTGTGGAATTGACCGGTCAAATTGTTTTTGGTCAATTGACCAGTCAATTGACCTGTCAATTGACCAAAATAACATTAAATAAAATATCAAAATAAATATTTAAGATTTTAATGCATATCAACATTAAACATGAATAAATATTAAATTAAACATTAATAAATATTTTATAAATAAACATAAATTTCTAAAAAACTTAAAAACATATTTCTATTTAAAAACAAAAAAAATAAAAAAGGATATTAAACATTAAATATTAAACCCTAAACAAAATAATATTAAATAAAATATCAAAATATATAAATATTTAAAATTTTAATGCATATCAACATTAAACATTAATAAATATTTTATAAATAAACATAAATTTCTACAAAACTTAAAAACAAAAAAAAAATAAAAAAGGACATTAAACATTAAATATTAAACCCTAAACAAAGGTAAATTATCAGAATTGGATTCATTGTCGGAATCCGATTCGCGGTGTTCGAAATAAGAATCCGATTCTGATACCGCGGTATCAGAATCGGCCTCTGAAGAAGAAGAAAGATTTAAATGGGTTTTACTGCTATTTTTACCGATTATGTTAAAATTATATTTAACATAAACAAGTTTTCCAGACCGTGTGGTGGTCAATCTGTTTCTCAATTTACTATGTACAATTCCCCATGTTGACCAGTTCCTTTCACAAGAAGCTGAAGACGCGGGCATACTTAGTAACTTTATGGTTACATCATAAAGTACGGATTTATTTTGCCAACTCTCCTACCGGGTTGATGGTGTAATATCTGATGATATTTTACAAACTGATCTGATACTTCTTACCGCTGTCCAAATTACACAGTAGTAACATCAAAAAGACACAAAAAATCGCCGGTACACGTAAACTTAATTATTGGGCGTAGAATCCAGTGGTGTAATCAGTTAGCTCGTTTTCTTAAGATATTTAATATTTAAGTTTTTGTAACTTTTTGGTTTATAATTTGTGTACATTTTGAGAAATACCAAAAAGACACAAAAAAACGCCGGGACATGTAAACCTAATTTTTGGATGTAGAATTCAGTGGTGTAATCCGTTTTTTAAAATAAGGTCGTTTTTTCAAGATATTTGAAATTTTGTGTTTAAATATTTTTTTATTTGTTATTTTGCTAAATATGTGTGTATATATATATATACACAGCCCGTTCAGAGTAAAACCGAATATATCTCTCCCTCCAAGGCGCGTCACAGTAGCTTGTGTGATAAACGACATGACGAAAGGTCGATCAGGTAAGACGACTTAAAAAATTAAATGATAATAATGCAAAAAATCTCATTAGCAATGCAGGCTATTTGCTTAGCTACTGTGTCGCGCGTTGGAGGGAGGCGAGGCCACGCCCCATATATATATATATATATATTAAGACACCATAATCCCTCTTAAAATATTTTTATTTATTTTATTTATTTGTAATTAACATTGAAATACTCGAGCGCGTCCGATTAATATACAGACGGTTCAGCTGGATGTCCTTGTCGTGCTGGCCCATAATCTGACAATTATGTGGAGGAATTTCCTTAATCTGAATGTTTGGAGAAAAATTTACAATTTTTTTGTTTTTGTTTTTCACCAGAGCAGTTGTGTACAGATAAAGTTCATAAATAATTTATGAACTTTTAACTGTACAAATTCAGTCACCACTGGTCACCAGTCACGGTTGGCAATTGGCGGTAATAAAGTATAATATTATTAAACACTACACTTAATATATTATTTAAAATATACCGCCAAGTGCCAACCGTGAGTGCAGTCACGGTTGGCACCATGGTGACTGAATTTCTACGATTACGTCGGAAAAACATGTTTCTTAAAATACTTCTACCCACTAGTAATACTAGGTGGACCTAGTTTTTTAAAAAATACTAGTTGCACCCAGTATTTTCCTGAATACTAGGTTGACCTAGTATTTTCTAAAATATTGGGTGGACCTAGTATTTTCTAAAATAATAGGTGGACCTAGTATTTTCTAAAATCAATACCCGTGACTGTTATTCGCTTATACCTGTTACAAAATACCTGTTCCTAGTATTTTGTATCATCTCTACGCACCACACTTTATTGATGATTTTAACTACTTCGGCTTGTGGAAATCGGCAGATTATATTTTTCCCGTGATTCTTGAATGATTTCCTTCAAAATAAAAAATAAATTACCCGCGCTCGAGAATGTCCAGGTGACGTTTTTTTTGCACAACTTTGTATATCTCCTATTTCCTTATGTCACACGCTAATCGTCAGAGTATTGAAATGTACACTTTTTTGCATGTAATTAACTCACCTTGCCTTAATCTGATGCGCTCGAGTTTTTCTAAGGATCAATTTTTTTTACTATTCTGATCGGCTGCCCTTAACGCACGACCTTATATAAAGGGTTCATGTATGGTGGAGGTACTTAACAGGGCGCAAGGTTTCCACCTTACGTTATTCTGCCGCGCTTGAGTAAATCCCCAAATACCCGCTTGGGCTCCCCTACTATAATGGTTTGATGAAATCGTTCACCAGCTTCGGTTGAAAGTTGTTTTTCATAAAAATCAAAATGAGCATGCAAAATTTTTAGCTACTTATTTATACTTACTTAACCACAAAACTTTGTAGCAAAGAATTATTTCAATTGTAAAAACTAAAAACAACATTTATACAGGCTGTACTTAGTCTATTTACTAGAAAATGAAATTCTCAAATTTTATTAAATTCGAATATTTCCCAATAATACCAGACAATAAAATTTACTAAAACAAATTTAATTACAAAAAAAAAGAAATATGCGAAAAATCTAATAAAATTAATAAAATATGAATAATATCGGCTTAAACACGAATGTTATTAATTTAAGAGAAACAAATTTATGAATTAAAAATAAATACAGACATTTTAAAACGAGTTATGCTATAATAATAAATAAATAACGTATTTATTAATCCTTATGTAAATACATACTATGTAAGGTTTCAACATAAGATTAAATGGCCAATGACCGAGGTCCTTCAGCCAAGTTATGCTATATTTTTCTTTAAAAATATAGCAAAATGGTGAAACAAAAAACTTAAATAATTAATATCTTGAGAAAACGAGCTAAATTATAAAAACGGATTGCACCACTAAATTCTACACACAAAAATTAGGTTTACGTGTCCCGGCGTTTTTATGTGTCTTTTTAAAAGTTTGAAGTTTACCTACAGTGTTATTTGATGATTAAATTCATTTGCACCTGTTCTAAAATTTGAAATTTCTCCAATAACTTCAACATCAGATTTGTTTGAGCTAAGTTGTACTATTAAAGTAGTAGCACGTTCCAGCTCATCTGGAGTTAGATTTTCTCCTTTATATCTAGGATCGAGTAGATACGCTGCATTGTGAGTGTCCGTACATGCCATTTGAATTCTTTTTAATACGGATGCGGTTGTGGTTTTTTCATCTTCTCTAAGAAATTGACTTTTTAAAACAAATGTATTGAAGCGTTTTTTTTAACAAGTAAAGTTTGTGAATGGTAAGGTAATTGGTAAGGTTTCTTTTAATACAGACCATGCAGCTTGCATATTTGCTGCATTGTCGGTTATCAAAGCGGTAACTTTATTTTCGCCAATTTCTTTAATAACTCTTGTAATTTAAGAGATTGAAAATTACTGCCCTGCTTTTCATTTAAAACGGCGTTGGGAATATGTTTCAATTTAAAAAAATTAACAATCTCTTTGCAATTACTCAGATGGTTGGAGAATGTTTTAAGTGATTCAATATCTTTTAGTAATAAATTTAAAATGTGAGAAACGAAGCCGTATGTTTGTAGATTTGGTAAGGTTTCTTTTAATACAGACCATGCAGCTTGCATATTTGCTGCATTGTCGGTTATCAAAGCGGTAACTTTATTTTCGCCAATTTCTTTAATAACTCTTGCAATTTCACTGGAAATATATGTAAAAAATCATAAAAAAATCTCCATTTTTGGTATGTATGCACCATGTAATTTATTAAACCTTCGTTTCTTATATTTGTCCAACCATCACTAATGAGTGATGCTTGGACAAATATAAGAAACGAAGGTTTAATAAATTATGAGTCATTAGAGTTATATTATCCTCATTATCAAGAATTTCTTTTATATTTTTCTTTATTTTGTTATAGCACTTATCAAGGTGCGAGGTAGCCATAGTTTTTCTATCAGAAATTTTAAAAGCTGGTCGCAGTATCCAAAAAAATTGTTTCCATTTGTCTGACTCAAACATTGACAGGGCGCAATTTGAAGAATAAACAGCTTCGCAAAAAAGGGTTTGTAATTGAGATTGTTCAGATTCGCTTACTGTGTCAAAAAAAGATGTTAATTTTTGCATTTTCGAACGGTGAGATGTCCCAGAAGGACCAGCTAAAATATTTGGATTTTCATCGTTGTCTTCATGTGATCTCTTGTTTTCCACCGTTGCTGTTATCGATTGTATTTCTTTGTTGGAAAATATTTCTTAATCTTCATCTTGAAGAGATTTGTCCAAATTGTTTTCTACTTTGTCAAACTGCAAATAAAAGATGTTGTTTAAAAAACATGTTATTCTCTTTTTTATCTGGCTATAGCTTAAAGGGGCTAATAATCACCCTGTACCGTTAAATCACGCTGTACCGTTAAATCAAGCTGTACCGTTAAATCTAATCGAATAACATCTAATTGGTTTAAAAAGAACAATCCATCTATAGGGGTAATCTATAAAGAACTCCATGTCCTAGGGCCTAGGGGGAAGGAACTTGAGCAAAACGTGACCATTTGTGAAGGTTGTTATATAGACTTTTTTCAAGTAGAAATCCTTTCTATATTTCATTTTTCCAAAATTAAATGATTTTTGTTACCTACATATTTTTTTATGTAATTCGATTATTAGTTTTTTTAATTTTTAATGAGAGATGTGGGGTCAAAAATCCACTAAAAAGCGTGATGTCCTTAATGGACGGCCCCTATAATAATCATAGTGGTCGTTTTAATCTACTCGTTTATTATTAATGAATCATTAACGACGTCACGCTTTTTAAGAGGATATTTTACTAAGATTAATTAATAATCTTTAGTCTCACAAACATAATTAATAAATATAAAAAGTCCACATGAGTAACATGCAGATCTCCTCAAATTTTAATCCAGGTTTGCAACATCAAATTCTATTATAAATTAGTATTTTATAAGTAATAAATATAAAAAGTCCAATTGAGTAACATGAAGATCCCCAGAAGTTGGTTAATAATTAAAATGTAACCTCAAATTTTAATCCAGGTGTGCAACTTATTAAATTTTATTTTAAATAAGTATTTTATAAGTTGCAAACCCGGATTAAAATTTGTGGTATTAGTATGGAATATTATTATAAAGATATAATAATAATACATTTATTCCACACTACAATAGGATTTTTATAACCTGTCCGTTACGTCATCAAGGACCTAGCTCAGACATTCGTATTGTATTTCTACGCCGCGGCCCGCGAGCAATAAACCTATGTCAAAAAACATGTTTTTAACATTTTACACTGATGGCGTAACGGTAGGGTTGATAGATTCTGTCAAAAAAATAAAGGACATTTTGTGAAAATTTACCTTAATTATCAAAATAAATAATTTTTGTATTGTACTTACATATTCTTTGCGCACTGCTTCTGGAATTGATTTGCAGTTTTTAATTATATGTTTCTTTATCCTACCTGCATGTGTAATGTAAATTGTTCAACAATAGTTACATTTTCCTTTTACTTCACGTATTTCAGTAAAACAATTCCAGATTTTTGATTTGGACTTCCCCAAATTCATTATAAATTAAATGGAAACACGCTAACAAATCAAAACAATATGCACTTATCCACGTATTTTTTTTCACAGGCTAATTTTGCCGTACTTTAAGGCTAAAATTGGCAACGCAGAGCGCTACCTTATATAGGCCGATGAATACTAATACATGGGCGAGATGTATGCATGCTGTATGTAGTGCCAGCATGTATACTGGGTTGCCCATGATAAGTAGATGGTTTGTATAGTGTTATGCTGCAATATGGCTTTGGAAGGTCGGGGATATGGTTGTCAAGCATCCGGCTTTATAGGTCAATTCTGCGCACATCTGTAAGCAAATCTATAACTTACTAAAGCTTATAGACAATTTGCAATTCTGCGCTTCCTGTAGCTTACAGAAAATCTTATAGAATCGTAAATATTTACGATCTGATGTTTTCCAATCGTTGCTAGCTACAGTTCGTTTTTGTTAGGTTGTGTTAAGCTATTTTAAAAATTATTTTTTTTTATATTTTAATAATGTTAATGTTTATATGAATATGGTAATATTTATTAATTGGGACAAGCAGGCTGGGCCAACTACATTAGAAATAATTCTAATTTTGACTAAATATAACAATACATACATTTTTTTTTATTTTACAAATGAAAATAAAATAATATTCTTTAAAAAATAACGACTTGTCTAATCGTCCGATCATCGGATGAATAAAATATATTAATCGTCCGAACATACGGACGACTAATATATATTATTCGTCCGGTAATAACATAACGTTAGTTACGTCATAATTATAATTCGCTTTTGTTCACCGACCGTTTAATATTTGACAACAAGCTAGATAGCTTATACGGTAGGGCGTTCGCTTGTCATGCGAGAGGTCCCGGGTTCGATACTAAGAAGCTGTCGAATTTTTTTTATTTTTTTATTTCATAAATTTGTTGTTTCTTTGTTAAACAGTGTTCGGTTGGGTTGGGTTGGTTGGTTTGTTTTAGTTTTATCGTAACATAAAATCTACTAGAAGTTGTCGAACTTTTTTTATTTCATAAATTTGTTGTTGCTTTGTTAAAAAGTGTTTTATTTTTATCGTAACATAAATTTGCCCATTTTAGTTGGGTTTTTTGTTCAATGGGGCGGGGGGGGGGCCAATGGGGAGGGGTCGGTTGGGTTGTATTGTTAAGTTTGAGTCCGATAATCTTTTTATTATTTATTTATGTTATTACCGGACGATTAATATATTTTATTCGTCCGATTATACGGACGACTAGCAACGGCCTTTCGACTTGTCTAATCGTCCGATCATCGGATGAATAAAATATATTAATCGTCCGAATATACGGACGATTAATATATTTTATTCATCCGATGATCGGACGACTAGCAACGGCCAAAAAATAAACCGCAGTCAAAAAAGAAATAAACAACAAAATAAATAAATATTCTAATCAGTCAAAAACTAATAGGTCAGATATCAAAATTTGGAATTTAAAATTTAATTTTTTTACAATTTCAAATCTTAATTGTTTTTCTTTCAGGTTTATATAATTTTCTAAATAGTTTTCAAAAAGCTTAACATTTTTTTTTGATTTTCTGCTCTTTGTTCAAATTCATTCAGATTTCTGCCAAACCTAATAATCTTCTTTCATTGCCCCCAAATATAGTTTTACTGTTGAGGAGTGGGGTTTTTTGTTTTCTTTCTCTTTGTTTCTTTAGCGTTATCACTAAACATTTTATATATTATATGTTCTTTTAAATGTAAAATTATCTTACCTTATTGTATTCATTAACTAGTTTAAATTTCTTACTTTTTGAATTATGCTATTATATGCTCGTGCACAAATGATAAACCGATAAACCTTTGAATATTTAAAGCTATAAACATAATAAATCATATAAAAATATAGGTTTTGTTTGATGGTAAGTAAATAGTCGTGAAGTTGTAGCAGTTCATTTATATCACTTTAAATTAGACATTTACAGATAAGTTATCTGAGATAACATCCCAAAATTGCCACTTTTACGATTCTATATATATGCTTATGAGCATTATTGTTACAGATCATCGTAAGCTATACATTTACGAATTTACAGAAATTTTACGGGAGACCCAAAAATAAGATATGTCCCGCTTTAAGGGCAAAGCGCCGAGTCCGGCCTAGCACTCGGGGAACCACCAAATTGTAAATGATGTCGATATTGCACGATCGCAAAAATATTGAGATTCACGGATAATTGTTGATACCTAAATAAAATGCTGCAAAAATTAAATATATTTTGACCGGTCAAATAGGTAGCGGTCAATTGACAGTCAATTGACCATCCCCAACTCAACGTATTTCCCACTTAAAATCATACACTCAAACAACGTTACGAGTATAACAATTTTGTATACAAATTGACAACGTTGTCTGAATGTAGGTAAACGTTAATTTCTACCAGGGGTTACTTCAACATTTATCATTTTGTTACTTTTACACTAATTATATGTCCTTTTTACATATATTAATTTGTTACTTTAACATAAAATGTTAAAAATTATGATATTTTATTTACACAAAAGAAGTGTTACTTTAACATTAAAATTTTTGTTGATTTTACACTAATAATTTGTCCTTATAACCTATATTAATTTGTTGTTTTAACAATAACTTTAATTAACTTTTACAAAAATAATTGTGTTTTTTCATTTTACGGCCATTCCGGAAAAAACGTGACGTCTGTTACTGTTTAAGCCAATATCTTGAGAAAAGATTTTCATAGCTATAGCTTCACATTTTTCAGTGTGTAGGGCACCTTGTTTTTTATGAAAAAAGCTTTTCTCAAGATATTGGCTTAAACAGTAACGGACGTTACGTTTTCTCCGGAATGACCTTAAAATGAAAAAACAATTATTTTTATAAAATTTAATTAAAATAATTGTTAAAACAAATTAATATATGTAATATACTGTACGTTATGTAACAATTTTAACAAAAAATAATTTACTTTTCTTGAGAAATTTGGACCTTAAACAACAAAGAATTTTAAGCATTTCCCAGAATCGCCGTTTGGTAAAAAAATTGGACAAAAAATAAAACAATTATATAAAATAGGAACATTTTTATTTATTAAAAATAAAACGTAAACGAACATTAATATAATATAAATAATGCTATAAAATACCTATATTTTTATTGAAGTTATAATAATAATAATAATAATAATACCTTTATTTCTGAGGACACATAGATACATGTATAGAAAACGTCAAAAACATAATTATAGTCATAAGGACTACTCCGAAATTTCGTATGCCTCAAGGGATTTTGATTTTATATTTATCAGTTAGTTTAACAACTTTATTCTGTTACAGTATAACCTAAAAACTGATTTGATATTTCAATAGTTTCCCAGGGTTTGCATACTACATATATTTCTAAATCCAACGAAAAAAAACTTTGGTAATGCATTTTTAACTGAAGTACATAAAAATTTATTTAAATATAAAGTATTACCTTGAAAATTTACTTTTTTCCCAAAAAATATCATAGAATTTTTTGATATATTAAGTAATTTGGAAACTAATTCGGAATGAGGATGCGTTTTCAATATTAATTGAGTAATTTTTAATTAATTAATTAATTCTGGTAATTGATTAAAAGAAATTATTTTTGTATTCCAGTGGTATAACATATTTTGTTGATGGCGAACAGACAAGGTATGGCAATGGAATTAAAATTCTTTAATTTTCCTGCCAATTTTTTTAAA